GCTCATCCGTCAGGCAAAAAGCACCGACATTGTGATCCTCGCAGGCGATTTGAATGCTCAAGTAGGTCGTCTGAGCTCCTTGGAATCACATTTGGGTGGTCGTTTCGGAGTCGATGCTCGCCGCACAGACAACGGAGATTGACTCTTTCAGCTGTGTGCTGATCACGAACTGTTTCTGGCAAGTACGAACTCTCAACATAAACGTTTGCATCGCTTTACCTGGCGACCGCCAACTACAAACCAACCGTGGACCCAGTTGAACCACGTGGCATCAGCCACCGGTGGAGAGTCACAATTCAGGACTGCCGTTCTTTCTGGAGCACACCACTTGATTCCGATCACGCCGTGGTGCGCGCACGCTTGACAGTTCGTTTTTCTTCAGACCATTGCAAGTCGACAAGAAGCATGCCAATCCGCTGTCTTCGAAGAACTGCCATAGCTCAACAGTACCGATCTGAGCTAGCCCAACAACTCTCCACAGTAAAACAATACTGTGGTGGCAGTGAGCATGTGGATGAAGCGTGGCAAAATGTGAAAGGAGCTATGCTGGCGGCGTTCAGTGCTGCCTGCCCGACTTCTCCAATTCGATCACAGAACCGCTGGATGCCGTCGAGGTCGTTATCCATTATTGATGCCAGGAAAGCCATACCCTCCCCCCAAACCATCGGTGAACGAAACTGCGGCATCTACAACCACAGTACGACGAGTACGCGGTTCTTACAGCTGACAATGATGATGATGATGATCTGGCGGGCTTAAAGTCAAAGAATCGCCCAACCGGTGTTTGGAGACCACCCTTATAGCTAAACCAAAGGCGCTCGATCAACTCCACTTCTGAAATTTGCCATCATTGTTACGCCGATATTTCAATTCCATCCTTTCAGGTTTTAACCTTTGGTTACGTTCATCTGATACACAGTACTCACGTACACAGGTTACGCTTAAACGGTTGAACTAGATTTTGGTCGGGCGAAGCTATATTCTTCAACGGGCGCTCTTATTGTCCATTCTCGAAGGACGCTTTACGCACAACGTGAGCATAGTTAATGGGTCGTACATTTAATTCACAAGTCTCGTTACTCAAAATGTCACTTGCGTTGTCTACATGACTGCAGTCAACAATATTTCGACCACCCAAAGAAAATGTTAGGGAAGTTGGACTTGGGCGCTTTTGTGGATTGTTAAAGATCAATTGTTTTCTTGACTAGAGAAAAGCTATTTCGGGAAGGTAAGCTTATTATGGTTTCTTGGTTCATCTCACCAAGTAATAAGTTGGCTTCGCGAAGAAGGTGCATATAGTCTCAGTTGTCGGCTATTGCTCCTTCCTCCAGCTGGCGCCTATAAAATCAGCTGATTGGGTCAGTAGTGAAATGGTACGCAAACTTATGCGCTGAAAATGCATATTTTTCACCAGTAAGATCGTCATTTGAATGTCGAGGGCGCGTCTTTCACAGTAAGTGTTGTATGAGAGCCTTTAGCTACGTTGAGAACATAAGTTTTACTCAACCCATGGCACGATCATGAGGTGCGATAGCGCTGAGAGACCAATTAATAACATCGGCAGGTTGAGTCTACTCTTAATAATGGCTGGAGCGACCCTAGGAACGCAAGTACCTATCATGGAGAACCCCATTTTTTCAGTTTTAATGGAAAGTGATGACGACTGATATTTATTAGGGGTGTTATAAATACCTACCCGGAATCCTATGTAGGTTCTATAGCTCAATTGGAAATTAGAGAAATTGCGAAGTACTTTGAGGATTTTTTGGCGACTAGGATATCGTCTATTGTGTTTCTAGCGTTATGTGTTCATTTTAGGTGATTGTGACAGACGAGGGTGTCTGATGGTTGCAAAGTTCTTATTTTAAAAGTTCTTCATGGAGCTGAAGAGTGAACAAAGGACACGTGGGTGTATCCTGACCCGACTTTTCAGCGGAATGTTTTGTCCGTGGAAAACCGCAGGGTACCAACGAGGAAGATGACCGGAATGGGTTAGGATGGGCAGGCATTGTTTTTACTGATTCCAATACCAACTATATTCCTGAGAACAGTCGAAATAAAAGTGACGCAGTACGAATAGGAGTTCGGGCAAACGGAACAGTTGACTTGTCCGGTAAATACATTGCAGTAATCCTCCTCCTCGGGAAAGATGCACTAACTGTGCCCACCCCAGTCAAGATTTTATGCGAAATCCGCTACCTGAAAGGGCTCCACTTAGGGAGGCGAGAGAACCGCTTGTCTGTGGTGTCTTTTTGAGACCATTACTCTGTCTCTTGACCGCGGGTGTGATTAATGAATGGAGTCATGGTCTCACAATTGAATAGATACCCTTCATCTGCTGCATTGTGGTGCAAAACGAATTTTGCCTGGGTTCCCTGGGCGACTGATTTTAGAGTGAAAGGGAGGAATAGTTGACGTTTTTCTGGCTTTTGTGAAACACTTATTTGGTTTTGGTAAGGAGTAGCCATAGGTTGTACAAATGAAGCTCAAACGCTGACTATTAGTTAACCACAGTAACATTGCCGGATAGGTGCGGATAAGTTACTAGGGTGGATGTCCCCTCTGCCATCATTCGTTTGTGTCTCATATGGGCGACGCCGTGTGCGCATCACGAGGCGCGTGACATAAACGAACACGGAACACCTCGCTGACCTTCACATATGGACTGTGTAGGTTCTAATTTGCTCTTTATATATATATATATATATATATATATATATATATATAATACA